CCTTTATGTTCAAACTGTCTGTTCTCTCATACACCTTTGTCTATTTTGATGTCAGTGTTTTTCTATCCAGTTGTTCTATGAATGCTACTGTGAAGTGAGACGACTTGAACCAATCCACTAAAAGCTGGGTTCAACGTTGACTTTGTCTATCTATTAGGATCTAAGCTAAGAAATAGTAGGAAAACATTAGAAGCATTCTAACAATTAAGTCAATGTGAGGTAGTCTAACCAATCGTGCATTATGTGTGCCATTCGAATGATATACTGTACGAAGTCGATCCTTAAATATGGTTCCATCAATACCTGTAAAGGACTGTAAACTTACGACTATATCAAACTGATAATTGCATAATAAATACACCTTGCTGAGAATTTCACTGAACCATCGAAAAAGGGGACTAGTTTAGTATAATTTAAAATGTACACCTACTACAACCTTAAAGACGTCACCATATCTACTTATTATTTCAGTTGAAACACAAATTCTCAGTAAGCCTTCAGCACCGAGAAATGGTGGCACTATGATAGAATGAAATAAGGGAAGTTAGGTGGTGAAACAATATTGTGCTGTTTGAGAACATTAGTTTCATATCCATTGAAGATCCGGTGAACTACAATAACTACAGTTAGAAGGGAATATGATACATAAAAAAAATCGCATGATGCATAGGAATGATTATATCGATTCACTGAATTTATCAAATCATGCTCAAGATACACAAACTTTTTAGTGTTAAAGAGGCATAATGGTAGATAACTTGGTAATTGCGGTAAATTAATAAGAAATAACTTTCGGCCAAAACCTCGCCTGGTTAACTAGTTTACTAGTTACTAGCCGGTCCTAAGCCCGGGTAAAGAGGGAAGGTTGGGCATAGGGCTAGCAACCCTACCCCGTAAAACAAATCTAACCGCTAAAGAAACTTCAAAGCACAAACAAAATATAAAAAATGAAAACAAACTTATTCCCCGCTGGAATCGGAGAGGCGAAATGACGCCAGTTGGTGAAAGCCTTCGGGAAGCCAATTGGCCGATGTGTCTTCTCTCGATGAAAGCGAAAGTAAACGTGGGGACATGGAATGTCCGTACGATGTTTGAACCCAGTAAGGCAGCCCAGATTGCAAAGGAGATGAGAAGGTATAACATCGAAGTGCTTGGAATTTGCGAAAGCAGATGGAATGGGAGTGGACTCTCCAAACTGTCAACTGGAGAATCAATAATCTACTCCGGTCACCCAGACGCCAACCACGAGCACACTGAGGGAGTGGCTATCATGATGTCCTCAAGAGCATCGAAGGCTCTCATGCAGTGGGAACCAATCTCCTCCAGGATCATGACAGCAAGATTCAACTCAAAAGGAAGAAAGGTCACAATCATACAATGTTATGCACCTACAAATAATGCAGAGCAAGAGAAAAAGGAGGAATTCTACAGACAACTTCAATCAACACTGGACAAGACGTCAGTTGGCGATATCAAAATTCTAATGGGCGACATGAATGCCAAACTGGGAGGTGACAACACAGGAAGAGAACTAACCATGGGTCGAGAGGCGCTAGGTGAAATGAATGAGAATGGAGAATTGTTTGCAGAATTCTGTGCATTCAACGATTTGGTGATTGGAGGCAGTGTGTTCAGGCACAAGGATATCCACAAAGCGACATGGACTTCACCAGATGGACACACTAAAAATCAAATCGACTTTATCTCAATCTCAAGAAAATGGAGACGCAGTCTACTTAACACAAGGTCAAGAAGAGGAGCAGATGTAGGTTCAGACCACTATCTAGTGCAAGGAACCTTCCAAATCAAGTTAAAAGCCTTCAAGGAAGCTGGTGATAGACCTCAATTCAAGTACAACACTCGGAAACTGAAGGATGAAACTACAAAGGAGATCTTCAAGGCAGCCATCAAGACAAAATGGGAGACATCGAGGGACATCCCTGAAGAAACCTGTGTGGAAGAACACTGGAAGTCTTTGAAAGCTATGTGGAAAGAAACCTGCACAACAGTATTAGGAAGGAAGAAGAAAGAAGACAAGGAATGGATCTCGACGGATACCTGGAAGCTGATAGAGGAGAGGAGGATGGTGAAGCAGAAGATAAACCAGTGCAAGGATGCTCAACGACAAGAGGAACTGAGCACAATGTATAAAACACTGGACAAAGAAGTGAAGAAGAGTGCACGCAAAGACAAAAGACACTTCTACGAAACACTGGCAAGTGAAGCAGAACAGGCTGCAGGTAAGAGAGACCTGACGACATTGTATCAAATAACCAGGTTGCTATCAGGGAAGAGACCAACACAGATGAAACCAATAAAAGATGAAGAAGGAAATTTAATTACAAAAGAAGAGAAACAGAGGAAACGATGGGCCGACCACTTCAAGAAGCTCTTGAATCGACCACCACCTGCACTTCGTCCAGAAATACCACCTGCAGCCGCTGAATTACAAGTGAACATAAATCCCCCAACGAAAATGGAAGTCCTGAACGCCATAAAGCTACTGAAATGCGGGAAAGCAGCAGGACCAGATGGATACCGCCAGAAGCACTGAGAACAGATGCAGAGACAACAGCGGACATGCTCACACCACTATTGCAGAAGGTGTGGAAGGAAGAGAAGGTACCGGACGATTGGAAGAAGGGTTACCTTGTCAAACTGCCGAAGAAGGGAGACCTCAGTGCTTGCAAGAACTGGCGCGGAATCACTCTCCTGTCCACCCCAAGTAAAATATTAAGCCGCATCATCCTGGAGAGGCTTAAAGACGCACTGGATTCAAAACTGCGACCGGAACAGGCAGGCTTCAGGAAGTACAAATCATGTGCTGACCAAATTGCAACACTTCGTATCATCATAGAACAGAGCGTAGAATGGCAATCAGCTCTCTACCTCAACTTCATCGACTTTGAGAAGGCCTTTGACAGCGTCGACCGAGAAGTAATTTGGAAACTGCTTCAATACTACGGAGTACCGCAAACCTTTATCCGCCTCATTCAACAACTATATGAAGATGCCACATGCCAAGTAATCCACAATGGGAAGCTCAGTGATGCCTTTGAAGTGAAGACAGGAGTGAAACAAGGTTGCCTACTATCCCCCATGATATTCCTTATTGTGGTGGACTGGATCATGCAGCAAACAGTAGGCAGCGAGAAGAGGGGGATACACTGGACGACGGAAAAGAACCTAGAAGACTTGGATTTCGCCGATGACTTATGCCTAATGTCACATAAACTTGAAGATCTGCAGGCAAAAACTAACAAGTTGACAGAAGAGGCAGCAAGACGGGACTTCAGGTGAATATAGAGAAGACAGAAGTGATGAAGATACCGCACCACCACCATCAACAACAACAACAAACTCCAATCACCGTCAACGGGAGAAACTTGAAGGAAGTAACCTCCTTCACTTATCTAGGAAGCATTGTTTCAACTACAGGCGGGACGGACGAGGACGTCAAAGTCAGAATCGGAAAAGCAAGACAGGCGTTCATTAGCCTGAAACCAGTGTGGAGATCTTCTGCACTCAGCATCTGGAACAAGATACGGATTTTCAACACCAACGTCAAGTCAGTGCTCTTGTATGGCTCAGAGACTTGGCGCGTCACGAAAGGATTTCCAATAAACTACAGACATTCATCAACAACTGCTTACGCTCGCTGCTGAAGATCAGATGGCCAGAAAAAATAAGCAACAAGGAACTCTGGGAACGAACCAACCAAGAACTATCACGCAACAAATATGCAGGAGAAGTGGAGATGGATTGGCCATGCACTGAGAAGGCCGACTGAGGACATCACGCGTCAGGCCCTCGAGTGGAATCCCCATGGGAAGCGACGAGTTGGACGTCCGAGGGTGACATGGAGGAGGTCATGCGAGGAGGAAATGAGAGCTTCTGGGCTGTCGTGGAACCAGGTTCAAAAGATCTCAGAGAACAGAGGTCACTGGAGGCGTGCTACTGAAGCCCTATGTTCCACTAGGAACCCAAGGGACTAATAATAATAATAAATAACTTTCGGCCAAACACAATATCACACTTATTCACTATTAGTCTTGCTTTGAATCAAAAAATCAACATTCAAATCTTTGAACTATTTTTTAACTCTTATGCTCTACTTTCCTGTACTGCTTTAATTCCTGTTTACAATTATCTCATGCTGCGGTATTCTAAAGCTGCATAACTTTGGTAAGTACAGTACTTTTACACATTGTATTTTGCACATTGCAGTCAAAAGCTCTTCGGTAAAGATTAGTGGTCAATTCAGTTAAACGCTTAGAAGTTAATACACCTGGGAATTTTATGACAGACAACTCAACCTTTACAAGACCGTATATTTTTGCTATTCAACATTAATACAGCGAGCAATACCTGCTACCACCCTAAAAACCAAAAGAATCTCAAAACACGAAAATAACATCTTATTCACGCCATTTATCGATAGCTGCAAGATGTTGGAAAAATGAGTTTGGCAGTCAGTGATTTGGTATGTTACTAGAAAACCCTAGACCTAACTCTTGTTCCTATTGACTCATCCAAAGAATACTTTAACAAATTATTGCATTCATTCTTTAAGACAATTCACTTGGTCGTTATTTTACAATATTATTTTATAACCATGTTGAAGAGCTTTCTTTTGGTGTGCTGACCATTGTTTTATGCTGTTTTACTGAAGTGTAATAATAGAAAGTTGTATATTCTGCCCTTCATTCTGTAGCCCAAATGGCTTTGCTGTATATTTGTAACCTACTGTCTGGAGAATTTATTGTCGTATAAATGCATTAGTTGTGAACCTAGAAAGGACCAACAGTCTTGTGTCCGATGACTCATAGGCATAGGAAAAACATATGAATGCGCTATTATTCAGACAAGAAGGCACATAAAGAAGCGTGACCGCCTGACAGTCCTAAAGTTACTTATTCCTAGTGCATAGTTCAACTGCATGATTTCAGTCATCGCCATTTATTCGCCATTACATTAATGATAACTTGATAAATACTTACTTTAATGAAGGGATATTTTGAGTCGATCCTGACCATACAGAGAGTTTAGTGACACAAAATTTAGCTTCATTATCATATTCTTCCGGATGGTGAATCAATGCATTAGCTGCTTTTGAATTAGCATATTTCACATCTCTCATATCTCTAATACACGCCGTTTGGTCAGCCAGTGATGAAGTCACGATACTTGTAGGACTCGTTAACATTCGCTTAAAATAGTGGAGCAGATGCCAAATATGATGTTTATTTGGATTCCATACAGGAAATTCCATGCAGAGATTTACTTCCCCAGTTACACAATCCACATGAGGATGATAAAACCCTTCAGGTAAATATAGTTTCTGAAATGAAAATTAGATATAAGATTAAACAGTTTAGTAGATGCTTCAATAAATCTTTTACGCTGATTATTAAGTGGGCATCAAACAACAGGAAGAATCGAAATAAACAGATAACTGGGGGTACCTATAGGATCCACATGTATTCGGACTATGACGCAATATTCTTTCTGCTGTAGAAAACACATCCGGGAACTTTTTATATTCCAGCACAGTCACATGAAACAACAACTTTCATAGGCTAAAGCTCTATGGTCTCACACAACAAATATGTGCTGTGTTACGGATATATATGTAAAGTCTTTGGCGCATTTAGTACCGTGATTTCACCTAGCCGATGTAAAATTGATAAGACTTATCTTTCGATTGTTCTGAAATTTAATATCATTTCTATGAGCTTTAGAATTTAATGGTAAACTTAAGAATAGGGAACGGGTGTTCAGTAACTCTCAAACTTAATGGCTTTCAAATGTTACCAGCATATGCTAAAACACTTTTCAGAGTAATATTTACAAAATAAATGAGGGTTCCTTTGGTAGTTGTTTCTGAGTTACGATGGAGCAAAGATGGAATTCCTTGCCATTAGATTTATTATAAAAGCATTTGTAATAATATTTATATACATTCCTTACCTCTGGTAGAAATTATTTGTAGGAACAACAACTGGTGATCGCATGTAGCAATTTTGCTGGAAATATTACTAAAGTGAAATATCTTTGTGCAAAAATCATTACAAATATATTTATAATAAGTTGGTTCGCGCCATAATGCATGAATTTTTTATGGATATAAATTAATGTTTTCTATTTAGTATAGTACAGCATATACTTATACCGTATTGTATTCGGGATGACGTTTCGAGCATAAATTTTTACTTACAATAATATCAAACTGACATGATTTTGACAAGTTATGTGCAGAACGTCATACAGTAGACAATACTGTATAACATCGCACTATATCAAAAAGAAAAGTCCAATATGGAATGACAACCTGCCAGCGCCTAGATTTTGCACCCTAAATCTAACCAATGAGACGGCATAGTTCACTTGAAAACCTTCAAAACACAGATACTGTCCTTTTACATCGTGGTTACAATCGGCTTCGCGTACGGACTCATCGATTAGTGGAAGAATCCAACGAGTGTATTTAACGGGTACCCTAATAAATAAATGCTGAGATGACGAATTAAGTTCCCCTATTTTATGAAAAACTATCTTCCAAGGTGAAACTGAAACATCATTGTTCATTTAACAGTTGCTGGGGTGTCATTCCTTAACAAATGAGGTCAAGCTTGAATAATTGCTAATATGGTGAAACTAGCAACAGAACTCTAGCACCCATGATAGTAGTCAGAATCCAGTGAGCAATTTGCCACTTTTTGGAGTACAAAAGATTTGAAATTTTTTGCTGCTAGAGTTAGAGATAAAATAATGTAGGAGTTCCTCAGCTTATAAGTGTTTGGAGACCTAAGAAGGGAATATCCCTTTGAGTTTGAAAGCTACAATCAAAAGTACTCGTCATGAATTACGAACTAGTATCTTAGGACTAAAACATAGTATCAGGGTTTGGGCGATAATAAAGAATTATTGCGTGGCTTTAAGGTTTATGCGTTCGAAATTAAATCATTAAAACAGAAAACCATCACTCGTATACTTTTTAGTCCTTTTAGCTAGATTTAGGGGTTTAGTGGCGAAAATTAGACTCCGATTTTAATGTAACGATGCGCATGTTAACTTCTTCATAAGCCAGCCTAAGTTTTTGACTGGATTCTTTGACTTTGAGGTAATAAAGCGATTGAAAGAAATTGGAGAATTGGCATGTATCATAAAATGACCACAGAATATTTGTTTAAACATTACCAGTGAAACTTATTTCGGCTAAGAACGACATCGACTAATGGGTAGGCCTGTACCACTCACTCAAACAAAGTAGAACTCTGTAGATCCACTGTTTTGCTTTCAATGAAATGCTGAAGGCAAAAAAAGCAGTAACTCTATATGAATAGCCACGCCCTAATTTTACTGGTTGTTCCGAGCCCATTCAGAGAAAAGTGCAAATGCATGTTCCCCGACATTATATTTTGAAGTACCAGGTCGAGAAACATTTTCATCTATTTTTTAGGGTATAAACTAAGGGAAACTTATCCAAACACCGAAAGTAGTACGCAAGAGTTGAGCGAGGGTTCTATTCCAACAAAACTTGCATGAAAATCTATACATGCATGTATATGTATGTACACATGTACAATAAGAATAACTCATTTTCACGTCTGATAGAAAAACTGTACGACCAATATTTCCGCACCCATGAACGCACTATGGGGTTTACTGCCAAAATTGTGCACATGGAAAACTACCAGATAAGTTGTATAAGCCCACTTCTTGATGAGAACACAGCCTGTCAGACTATATCAATAACTTTGATGTCTTTAACAGTTTACGAGGATATAACACATACATGTTACTTATTATGTTACATACTAATTATTTGCCAAGAATATATGCTCAATTTGCACATACATACCGGCATCTTGATAGACGGAAAATCATCTGGGAGCAGTAGAACGAAACTAAACACTCCTCCAAAATAGTACCCACTGCGGATTGATATTAATCCAAGCCATTCTACAAGTGAATCACTCAAAATGTGTTCCTACTGAGAAGGTCATCTTCGCATGGACTAACAAATACGCCAGATGGGTGCTTTAGTTTGAGAAGGCTCCTATAATAAGTGAAGGGTTTAGAAAGTCAACTAAATAACTTGCAGCTCAGCTAAAATGTGATAACCCTGATTAAACATTATTTCCGTAGCGCAAAACTTCAAGTTTTGACGTACATTCAATCCATCCAATATAGTACCATTCCAGTGATCCGACACTAATCTCCATTTCGTAAGCCACAGCAAACCAGTTAATTTATTATAAGCTGCTTCAAAGTATTATAGATAAGTTTTATCTACATGGTTGGTTCTCTCATACTCTCCCTAGTCAATTGTTTGTTCCAGTTCTTGTAAACTGAAATGACGATCGAATCCTAGTTTACCTTGGACAGAAATGCGTGATTTTGCATAAGACACTAGTACAGCTCTCGCCGTTTCGTACCATGTTACAAGAAATCTGTTCACACTGCTGAAAGAAAATACGAGGAAGGATGCAGAGAGTATATGTTATCAAATGGTTCAAGTCGTTTAAATTTTGTTGACGGAATAGAAGCCTTCACTTAACTGGCGTCCTAGCCTAAAGTCGTTGGGTCACTACTTCTTGTGGTTGCTAACCTGTGTACAAGTAAAGAGAGAGCAAAACGTAACGGTTAAAATATGAAAATTTAATTAACTCTGGGCAGGTCCCAGCCACATGTTAAGTATCAGGCCGGCGTCTCAAGGATTCGGAGGAAGTGGCCTGGATCACGTTTGCAGGAAGAGCATTCTAGGTTGTAAGAACTCCTAGAGAACAGAAGCTTTGCTCGGTACCTAATCTGCTATGTTTCAGGCTTAGTTTCTGTGTGTGTCCTCCAAGATTACTGTCATGGCTAAAATTTAATAAGTGATGGAGTGTTTTTCCAGGGGTGCTCAGGATCTTTCAAATCACTATCAAGGCTCCTCCTAGCCTTCCACATTCCAAGAGATATATACCCAGCACAACCAGTCGTTCTTCGTATGTTTTAGACCTAAGTCCTCGAATAAATTTGGTCGCGCACCTCTGGAAGCACCCTTAATTTATCCTTCCACAGGGAAGGGAAGAAGATGATGGTCCCAAACTCTAGGTGGGACCATATGAAGCTGCTGAAAATTTGGCGGAAACGTCTTCATCCGACTGCTCGAAAACTCATTTAAGTTACTAGGGCCACGTTTCCACGAAATGCGTTTCTGTCACAGTTGATATGGGATTTTAAGTCTCGAGGACTAAAATGACCAAATCGTTTACGTCGGCGACGCTTCAAGTTCCATGCCACTGAGGTTATATACATGATAAACGTCGTGTTTCACGTGTATCATCTCGTATTCTCTAGGATTAAATGTGAGCTTTGTATTGACTACCCATCTCTTTCTCAAGAGAAACACTTTCCCAGTTTTGATTCCTACCCAGTTTCCCGTCATCGGAAAGAGGAAAGATTTGGGGAAGAACCGGTTAAGGCAAGTCATCTGTGTGTACCGGGAAAAGAAGAGGCTCTAATACTGAACCCTGGGGAACACCACTAGGACATTCTGTTTCTTCAGACATAGAGAAACTCACCCAAACCCTAATGAAGGACGCCGTCAATGTGAAGACAACCAGTCAATGAATGGTGGTCTTATCTCGATTAATTCTATTTTATTGTCCACCTGTCTATTGCAGTAAGGAGATTGGCAATACAGGATAACCCTTTACTAATCTCGCGTTGTCGGGGCGTGAAGAAGTTGATTGCTGTGACATGATCCATCAGTCCAGATCAACGATTCCATTACTTTAGCAAGTATGGATGAAGTGTCACTGGCCTGTATTTCTCTGGGTCGCTTCGTTGACCCCTTTTGTGGGTTGGCGTTATATGAGCCAACTTTCAAAGGCCGTGTGCTTTCATTTGACCTGGTGAATTCCTAAATAACTCACTTAAAGGTTCAGACAAGATCGATACTCCTTCCCGCAGTACCGCCCATGGATTTTGTCCGGTCCCGGAGCGGCGTCTTTTGTGAGCTGCATCGGCTTACCCTGCACCAACTCAATGCTTGAGTCAACGACTGCCTGTCCCACCTCGCTAGTGGAAGTTCGCAAACTCCTGTGTAGGTGGACAATGACGAAAAGACACGTAAATACTGGTCCGTCAAGAGCTCAGCTGCTTCAGTGATGCTACTAATCAGTCTGTCGGTACCCAGTAGCTGAGAGACTTCCGCTTCAGCCTGCCAGAACCAGGAAGCGTAGCAGAACAGACGATTCTGGTTGGAAACAAATGTGTTTATTAGCCTAACCTGATGTCGTCGCCAATCGGCTCCCAGTGACTTCGAACATGTGTTTCTTGTCTGTTTGAATTGTCAGTAGGGTATTAAGTGACAATCCCTTTATGTTTGGCCCAGTGGTGTCCCTTTAACCTGAGTAGCTTGCGAGCATAGGCCCTCGTTACCTCAGACAACTTGAAGCACTCCGGCCTTGAAAGTGGAATAGACTGACTGGCTGCGTGTACGACTTTATCAAGTATGAATCTCCAACGGGTGGCCACATCCTTCCATACTTGGTTAATCTGGCAATCTGTCTGTTCTAGAGCCATCTGTGAGGCCGGAGTGCTAAGTCGTCTGACGTTCCGACGACACTAATTGAAAGGTCCAGTCAGACCGACTTCGCAGACATACTGAAGTCGACAACAACGTGATCATCTTTGCGCAAAGGAAGAAGGATCGCTAAGTTGCCAATCAGGAATTCTTCGTTTATGAAGATGCTATCTAAGCGAGATTGGGTTCTGGTCTCCCTTGATTAAGATACCGTTCTCTCGTTCTCCATTAGCCCCGGTTCCTTAAACAGATGGAAGAATCGGGCTTCAGTGACAAAGTCACTCCCGCTATACGTCTGATCTGCAAAGCCAGCCTTCGGTAGGCTGGAGCCATCTGAAATTAGTATGTGTGTGCCCCAGTTTAGGGGGCAACTGACCACCTCTAATGTTTGACTATCATCGTATAAATGACCGCACTTTATAGTTTTGTGCAGCTTTACGGTGCGCCAGATGGACTCCCCAGGGATCCCAAGTCTTGGGTATGGATTTGATGAGCTGAGAGAGAAGAGCTGACGTAAAACGCTACCCCATAAACCTACCAACCTTCTTGTCGTCGAGAAACCCTTGGGGTGTGTGCGTTCGTCATAAGTTTTGATGGCATGGTGCACACTGACAAATGCGATTTCTAGGATTCCATTTGAACGCAGGACTGGTTAGGTAAACCTGAAAAGTGAGTAAAAAGAGCGTGCAGCAGGCAAAATTCGAAACAGGAGTACGGAAATACGCAGGAGTAGATCAACCATGATACATCTGGGTGAGTTCTTTATACTGACTACAAAACTTACTTGAAGAAGTATCCAGAACCAACTGTTTAGAGGTAAGCTTAGGTGGAAGAAGATGAAGGTGCTCACGTCAGTAACGAAAATCAGTCTGAAGCCAAAGATATCACTACGAAATAGAGGGTTGGTGGATTTTGGACCAGGTATTTACTTGTTATAATAAACCTATGTACAAAAGTTTGATGAAGTTATGAACACATAGGTGAAATTCATGGTTTTTTTAAGATGGTAACCACACTTTATCTAGTCACGGGGAGGGATGATCATGGTATTGCCTGTTGAGTATTACCATGTCGGGGCTGCAGAAGCAATACGATGGTGCAGAGTACTTACACGTAAGCACTGATAACAAAGGGCAGATAATAAAGCATGTCACATGTCATGAAAATGCACCGGTAGACAGTTCTTTTACCAATCTGCTGCCTTCTGAGTGTTAAGGACAAACCGCATACACGGTAAAGTGCAAGATTTGCTCGACAAAATCGATGAAATACATAAATTTATTGACGCGTTTGCTGCCAGTCACAACAGTACGACTGCAAGTGAAGGACCTTGAGTGGCTGAATACATCCTTTCTTTCCCTGGAATTCGTCATGTCGATTACCAGAAATGCCTCATTCGACGAACTGGTTTGCTGTCCCATTGGAGCTAGATAAAGCTACAGGGTGGTTAGTAAGGCTAATAATCACAAGGTTTGTCTTCATGTTGCGATTTGTACGTTTACGTGTCGATAAATAATACAAACAAATAAATATTTTATCCTCATATCAGTAAATTAACATGAGAGGAGCCGGCTTACAGGCATCATCAAATTGATATATGTTAAAAAATCTACAAGACTTTACGGGACCTGAATGGTATGAAAGGGAGGTCACTAAATTCGATTAAAAACACCAGATCACACGAGCTATGAAACGAACAAGTAAATACCGCTTTTCAGCTACACAGAGCGTCGAAGTTTGGATCGTTTCCAGTCATATTTTCTTTTTCACCACTGGCGGCACCAAGTTGGCGCAAAATTCCAAATTTCTGTTACAAGAGGTCGAAACGCTTGGTTCGTCCTTGCAATGTCCCGTTAGGTTAGATAAATGTCTATTTTACCACAAATCCTTGTGCATATGGCTTTGGAGACCAAAATAATCCGCACTGATGACGTCGAGAATCCATAAGTTTCCACATAATCGTATAATCCAAGTGAATATCTATTCAGGTGTTGTCATTCATAGTAATATATACTTACGCCATCGAAATTAGATGTTGTGGTGCAAAAGAGCAAACATTTGCAAAAACTGTGGACCAATGGCAATTCATTTTCCATACCGTTCACACTGAGGTATACAGCGTTATATTCACTGTTACATGAAGTACTAGACAACATGTCGCATACCACTATTGTGAATATGTCTACTTTAAAGCTGATAAGCGAATTGATCCCCTGGACTTTACTGTCTGTCCGGATTTTCGTTGCCACTATGGCCGCGCAGAAATTTGAGTAATTCGAGGATTGATATGTGTATACGGTGAGAGGGTCAAATGAGTGAATAGGACTGGTAATCGCCACTTCTTGGACAGCAATTTTGGTGGGACCATAGTTTCATAGCTTCGAGAAGAAGCGGAATGTTGAAAATTAGTAACGTATATTCCTAATCTGTGTCATGTCATTGTGAAGGTCACCTTGATGATGTGGGTCTTCGAGGTTTAGAGTTAAATCCTTTGTTCACTTAGAGTTCAGTTTTCCAGGGAATTCAGTAAGCTTTCACTGCGGCCCAGCATCTTCATCATCTAGTGACACCTTCATGTTGAAACTATCTGAAATTTTGGCAGAGAAAAA